CCAAGGACGTTGTATCCCAACGAAACCCATTTTCGTCGTCTACGTGTCTATCAAGATTCATTCTATTAATTTTTTGAACGGTCCATAAAGACGTTTTATCCTACTGAAACCCAATAAAAACTAAATTCGTATATTCGATTATTGTAATTAAATAATTTATTGTTGTACGCTTTGTAAGACCGATAATACAGACCTATTAAACATGTTTTCTCACGTTGTCGCCTTGTTAACTAATCAATTTATTGTCAGGAGGCAAGAAGTGGCCATTGTCAATGGCTATGTCTGAGGTACAATGTAGGTTTTTGTAACCAGCGTGCTCCTCGATAAGTAGAAATAGCATGCTTTTAGTAAAAAACATCTTAACCCGAATATACGAACGGCTAAGTAAGGCTTAAATAAAACAGATATCAGACTACAGATCGAAAGATGGGCGACACCATTCTCTAGTAAGATTTTTATAAAAAAAAATTTTTCATTATCAAATTTTACTCACATCAAATTTAGCGGTGGGCAGCGGCTTGGTTTTGCCCCTGGCATTACCGGCGTCCATGAATGACAATAACTCATCCCCATCAGGAGGCATCATGCGATAAAATATCATTAAAATATCATCATTACCCTGCCCTTCTCCCAGTCACCTGGGGTCGGTGCAACATGTTTTCTCCTTCCATATACATTCGCTCACTCCCTTCTTACACATATCGTCTTTCACGCAATCCATAGGCAATACAGAAAACAAAACACAATTTGTCGTTGGACAAATTATTATTAACTAAAAAATCGATTAGTTGACTACAAGCCGTTCGGAGGCTCTGTTACGCCTCTCCCAAACTCATGATCAAACCAGCTCAATGGTCAGGTCATTCCCAAAAGCAAAGCCAGGTAGAAATTTTCGATGTTAAGTGGGTAGCACTAAAAAACATCCAATTTTTTTATTGATGCTCTTGCATGACACGTGCATTACGTACGCAAATAAAAATCAAGTGACGCGCCCTCTGTCATGTAAGGTTATGGGAGCACGGGGTGCGACTGCTACCTTTGTGTTACATTGCCGATTTATGAGAGCCGATTAAGAAATCGTCCAGTACTTATGCATAGTAAACAGTATATTCCTCCGGTCACCATCCCCGCCGAACCCGTCGCTTGCGAGGAAGGACTCGACGGGTAGATTAACCCATAGACACAGCCCACTGAGTTTCTCGCCGGATCTTCTCAGTGGATCGTGTTTCCGATCTGGTGGTAGATTCTGCGAAGCGCTGCTCTTGCTAGATGCAGTGTTAGCAACGCTCTCGGTTTGAGCCCCGTGAGCTCCCCTACACGTCAAGGAGAAGCTGAAATAGCCTCTCAAGGCTATCAGCATAGGTAAGAAAAAAAAGTATATTCCAGTTTGAAATAGGCCATCAGCTTATTCGCGTTCCTTGCTTATTTTATGAATCATTGTAAATATAAATTATAAGTTTACAGGTGAGGCTTATAAAAGTGTGCTAAAGCCCTAAAGTGATAAACCAGGTATTTATGGATAAAGTGCAATCATTATTTACGGACACGAGTTAGGTAATTTAAAAATGACTAATCTCACAAGTTATAGACCTATAAAAAAATGAGTTTATTGCGTAAAGTATACAACACAGTACAGGATCCCTGGTACATTTTTCATCATTTATTACAAATATTTTTTCACGTTATTTAGATAATTATCTCGATAGGTTAACAAAGAAAAATTCGGTTAGTAATAAATTTTTAAAATTCGTGAAATTAACATATTTTATTCTTGCTACCCCCAGTAAGCTACCATTTAATAACGTTACTGTAAGGAAAAAAGTTGGGCGTCTAGTCAAAAGGAAGCTATTCACGAAAAATCAGCTTGTTAGTAATAAATGATGAAAAGTGTACCAGGGATCCTATACTAACATGCATGCCACTGCTCATCTTGTTACATGAAGTCTCTCCTTTCAATCCGGAAATAGGCTGGGCGATTACTGCATGGCTAGGCATCATCATCTGGCCTATTTCGAGAAGGCAGCCGTTGTGCAATACAATTGTGACCTCAACCACTTGCCTCAAGGTGGATGGCGGTATTCACAATGCAAAGTGCATAAATTCCGCCACAATATACCAGGTAATGGCAAAGTACCAAAACACGCTTGCGGCCACAATACGCTTGATCTCTCAGGAGTTCCGTACCCATCTAAAACTCGGTGGTGCAATAGCTAGGGCCCCTGACAGCTGACAGAGAGTCGTGGGGTTCATTCCCACATCGGACAAACGTTCGCGTGATGTACAGGTTGGCTTGCTCTTTACCTGGTTGTTGTAGTTTTCATAGTACAGTGAATCCTAATTCTGGATCAGATCACCAAGTGTGAATAGTTCCCGGTTTTCTTTTTTTTTACTATTATTCTTTGGTGGCTCACAGCCCTACTGACCAACAAGGTATCCCCGGTAGCGATAAGGTCGCGACCTCAGTCGTGAGTGTAATAGGACGTTGCACTCGTACGAATGAATATCACATGAGGCCCCAACGTATGTGACGATCTGAAGTACCGCTCGGCGATTTAGAATTCGTTTTGTGTACGACGGGACGGAGATTCGGATCTTTGTTAACGTCCGTCTGTTCCTATCGAAGCTTCCAGCTTTTGTTTGGCGCTTGTTTTGGTCACAGGACGTGCATTGGATGCGCTCACCTCATGAGTAGCCTTAAGGATATTAAAGGCAGTGTACCCCAATCACTGTCTATGGCCGAAGCTTTTCTCAAAGCTCATCTCGAGATACGAGACAATACTCAAGGATTTGTCTCTTAGTTCAAACTAGCTCGCCTTTATTAGGTCGATCCGTCGTAACAGTAATCTGCCGCGCGATCCTGTACCCTCAATCACCAATAATATAGACAATAAAAAAAAACCGCAGATTAATCCGTAAAAGTAATTTTAATTAATTATACCATTATTATATTGATTCAAATTCATATACCTATACCATATATAGATATACCTATCGACAAGATACCTATTTTATTTTACCATAGAACCTACACATTACTATAAGTAATTACCCTCAAGCAGCAGACACCGTCCTCGTTGAACGCGTCCATTACGACGAAGAGTTCGAAGAGAAAATAAAAATCAATCAAAATCAAATCAAATCATATCAAAAATCAAATCAATAATAAATCAATTAAAATTACTTAACGATGATCGTTTTGGGAAATCGTGTGTAAAATTCACCCGTTTGGAACGATGTTCAAACGAAGCTACGTCTCACAGATCATATCGAATCAGTTCGCTTCGATTAAAAGAAGTGTAGAATGCGAAGCGACCAGGAGAGAATTGTAATGTATTAAATTGAATATGCAATTTCGAAAAGGGCACATCTCTGAAAATGTAAAAAAGTTCAGGAAATGAAAAAAAACTGCTTATTTTCTAAAGCAGTGTAAAATTTAAAATATTAACTTCTTAGATATATTTTAGTGTTAATTAGCAATTGAAAATTACTGGAATTATTATAAAATGAGTGTTGGTGAGCCTCAAAACTACATGCTTAAGAAAAAACGTATTTGACAAAATAGGCGACATGTGCCCTTTTCGACGGTCCGTAAGAATGACCACAGAGCAAAATATAAGAGCGAAATAGAACAGTAAGTGTTTATCGTGTCTTATACATTTAACAAAACAATTTTCGGCTTTAGACATAATCGTCACCAGTCCAGAACACCGAGGAGTGAAGTTCTTTCCAAAGCCAGTTGGTGCGTGACAGAAAAGATATCTGGAAACTATGGACGCATTGGTTCTCAGTGGAATGGTTGAAATCAGCTCCGGTAGCCGGCGATGCGGTAAAATTAAATCAAGACACAGGCACAACATTTTAACGTATGCTCTACTAGTGAACTGTGTTGATAAAGTCCCCCAAGCTTGGCCAAACATAGGCAGTCAAGAGACGTATTACATCATTATCAAAGGACGTTAATCATTTAGGTAGGCAGTGGTAGGCAGCGGCTTGCGTGGTAGGCAGCGGCTTATGTGGTAGGCAGCGGCTTGGCTCTGCCTCTGGCAATGCTGAAGTCCATGGGCGACGGTAACCACTCACCATCAGGTGGGCCGTATGCTCGTCTGCCTACAAAGGCAATAAAAAATAAATAAAAAAAAAACCGGTAGTTGAAACAAACAATTCAGTACCATATTCTCATTGTCTATTATTTATTGTTTGGCCAATGATACTTAGGTAGCTACAGACACTATAATTGCCGTTTTAAACATTAATGGCGCATTGAAGTTAGCTGTTTGTTATAGTCAGTGCTCGTGACCTAATTTTAGGAATGGTTTGAGTTTGTGATATAAATAAAGATTCGAGCACTGAGTTTCTCCCCGGATCTTCTCAGTGGGTCACGTTTTAGGTCCGGTGGTAGAGACAGCGAACCACTGCTCTTGCTAGGGTTAGTGTTAGCAACGTCGTCAGGTTTGATCCCCGTGAGCTCGCCTACTAGTTTGGGTTATGCTGACATAGCCTCTCCAGGCTATCCGCTTAGGTAGGTAAGAAAAAGGTGAGCTAATACGTGTCAGAGAATATAGTCTGTCCGAATTTTCTTTGCACGGTATAACTAATCTTATATACTAGATTTTTTTAGCGCGAACGAGAACAGTGATGATGCGTTAGTCTTGTACTATTTAATTAATAAGTTTTATTCAACCGATTTATATTACTTATCCATTAAAAATATATGATCAGAAAATAGCACAATTGTGGGGAAATTGTTCGAAATCGCTGTACGTTCCTCCAATAAGTCCAAGTTCCATTAAAGTCTTAGTAACCGGTATTTTACTAAAGGCTATCACTAACCATTTTAAGAACACAGAAGATAGACTAAAAGGATGAGTAGCCGATGGCCGTGGCCAAATTAGATTATATTTTTTAAACAATACTAATATTAGATATTGGAACATTGGGAGCAGTTAACCTAAAGCTAGGGAGGGACAATTTGTGAAGTGAAATAATAAAATCGAACTCACCATCATAAGAATCCGGTATATACAACGGCTTCCCGACCAGTTTCCCTTTCTTCCCGGACAACGGTACCGCCTCCACTCTCCTGTGCGCCTCCAACACTCTATACAACAGCACTGGCCTATCCTCGCCTTCGAACTTTACAACACGAGGCAGAGAGAACTTATCCACAAAGTCTTTTAACGTCATCACTTCACTAGTATCGTCCTCCGGCTCCACGGAACCATTGCGTCTGCCGAGCAGAAAGTTATCAGACCACTCCGGGACCGGTCGCCTGTCGAGGAAGTCGGGTCTTCGCTCGCTGCTCCTCGGTTTGTACCTTGGAGGTCGATCGCGGCGAACCAGAGCCTCGTTAGCTTCAGCCAACCATCTCGTGACCAGCCGTTCTCTTTCAACGTCCAAGTATCGCGGCTTGGAAGCGTCGCAGGCGAATCGGGCTGCGTCGAAGCAGTACTGCGGGGGCGGGGGTCTGATCCTGGGCGGGAAGAAACGGGGGGGCACGTACGGGGGGTGCGGGACGTAGGCGGGCGGCGTCCTCGGCCCGGAGCCCTCGACTGACGCCGTTCTGAACATCATGTCAAGCCATTGATGGCACTCCCGCCTTCTGAAACAAAAAAAAACTAAATAAAAATTTGATACTTTCATTCTCCGCGCTCATTTATTTTATCTATAATCTATACTAATATATAAATGTACAGTGGTTTTTACGATGTTCCGTTATAACTACTGAACCGTGCATCCGATTGATTTGAAACTTGGTATCCATGTAGAAAATACACGTACTTTTTTATTTATTACTTAGACGGGTGGACGAGCTCACATCCCACCTGGTGTTAAGTGGTTACTGGAGCCCATAGACATCTACGACGTAAATGCGCCACCTACCTTGAGATATGAGTTCTAAGGTCATCACAACGGCTGCCCCACCCTTCAAACCGAAACGCATTACTGCTTCACGGCAGAAATAGGCAGGGTGGTGGTACCTACCCGTGCGGAATCACAAGAGCTCCTACTACCAGTAATTACGCAAATTATAATTTGCGGGTTTGATCTTTATGACACGATGTTATTCCTTCACCGTGGAAGTCAATCGTGAACAATTGTCAAGTACGTGTTTCATTAGAAAAATTGGTACCCGCCTGCGAGATTCGAACACCGGTGCATCGCTCAACACGAATGCACCGGACGTCTTATCCTTTAGGCCACGACGATTTCACTTTTTACATATCGATTACCGATTCCCCATTATACAACATTAATTATGATAATCAAATACCCTGTCGAAAACCTTTCTTATAATACCAAATAGCTTGATTCAAAAGGACACTATATTTGCTAACGTTTTTATGACTAGCGACCCGCTCTCGCTTCACTTCGGAAACATTAAACTTTATTATTGATAGCTGAGTCCCGCGATGTTATCCGCGGTTATTGTCGTACCGCGGGTGAAACTAGTCTAAAAAAGCCTAAGTTACTCCTTATAGCATCAGCTACCTATCAGTGAAAGTCTCGTCAAAATCGGCCCAGCCGTTCCAGAGATTAGTCGGGACAAACAGACAGGTAAACAGACAGACAAAAATTGTAAAAAATATTATTTTGGTTTATGTACCGTATAATTATATATTAAGCCGTAAATGCCAGCCAGATACAAATAGTATAGCCAAAGAGATTTTATTACAAGTTCATACATACTATGATGCGAAAAGGCTTTTCCCCCAACTTATTATATTCATATTATTATGCATGTAGTAAAAAGCTGTTATTTCAATATAACAAACAGACACTCCAATTTTATTTATATGTATAGATGATTATAATTTCGTGACAGGCTACTTACTACTTGTACTACCGCATCACGTTTCAGAGTCTTTAACGAGGAATGCGTCAATGGATCCCTCGTCAAAGACCTCATTCACCCACAAAAGGGATAAATTATCTTTTCAATTAACCTCCATACAATAGTCGATCAGGATTTACGGGACCGTACGGAGTGTATACATACGAATGTGTGGACATTAAAACAGCGATTTTCCTTAGACGCACAGTCGATGACCTCGAAAAGCTAATTATGTAATGTTTGAATGCAACTGTGAATAAATTTATAGATTTTGCAGTTGAACCAGCAGAGATTTTACTTGTGAATAACACAGTACTATGAGCGACGTATCTTGTATTCTAAACAAAAGTATGCTTGTTCGTAACGACGCAAAATCTTGTAAAGTAAAGAAATAATAATTGTATGGAAAAGCAAATCATGTTTTTATGCGAACTAGTGCTCCCCCAGTGGTCGAAATTCGACTATAAATAATTGGATTTTTAAATTTGAACATTATTATGTGTCTAATTTATAGGACTTGTTTCACTGGTGATAGGACCTCTTGGGAGTCCGCACGGGTAGATACCACCATCCCGCCTATTTCCGCCGTGAAGCAGTAATGCGTTTCGGTTTGAAGGGCGGGGCAGCCGTTGCGACTATACTGAGACCTTAGAACTTATATCTCAAGGTGGGTGGCGGCATTGACGTTGTAGATGTCTATGGACTTTGGTGACCACTTAACACCAGGTGGGCTGTGAGCTCGTCCATCCATATTATAAGAAATAAAAAAAATCGATTTCTTGAAACTATTCGTGGACTAGCCTTTGCGTGATAGCCGTTATAACTATATTGAGACCTTAGAACTTATATCTCGACGTGGGTGGTGCATTTACGCTGTAGACGTCTATGGGCTCCAGTAACCACTTAACATCAGGTGCTCGTCCACCCATCTTAGCAATAAAAAAAAATAAAAAAAAAATACTTCTATAATCACAGATTTCGTCAAGACTGCACTATAGACAAATAATATTAAAGATAAACAATATTAATCTATTCTCCATTTGACCACAGACTTTAAACAATAAATAAAAGAGTGTAGTAATATAAGTGTGTTGTGTCAAATACACGGTAGTGTGTGTAATGTTTCTTTTATTGATTTAATGTATTAAAAATGCATAATTTTAAGAAAATATTAACATTCTGCACTCCTTCTCTATATTCTTTATAAGTGTGGGAAATTTCATACTTCTCCGTCCGCGCAATTTTCGTAAAAAGGGGTACAAAGTTTTTGCTTCACGTATTAATATATAGATAGATTAACTCAAGAAGAACCCATTCAATGGGTAACGTGAACCTATGGCTATTAAAATGTGAATGTCACAGTCGAAATCCAAACATAGATCAGAGTTTTAAATTACATTGGAATGCGGTTGTACCAGTGTTCGAACTTAAACTATACTTCAGTTCTCTAAGATGGAACCATACTGCGGTATCACGATTTTTTTAAATATATTTTTTTTGCTTAAATGCGTGGACGATCTCACAGCCCACCTGGTGTTAAGTGGTTACTGGATAGATATCTGCAACGTAAATGCGTCACCCACCTTGAGATATCAATTCTAAGGTCTCAGTATAATTACAACGGCTGCTCCCCCTTCAAACCGAAATGCATTACTGCTTCACGGCAGAAATAGGCAGGGTGCTGGTACCTACCCGCGCGGACTCACAATAGGTCCTACCACCAGTAGACGTCTTGAGTTTTGTAGTAGAGGTAATCCTTCTATAGCACGGTAGATAAGTTCCTACAAAGTCCCGTGTTGTGTGAAAACGTGCGAAACATTTTATATGTATACCTATAAAAACTCAATGCCAAAACAATTAATCAGACAAAGTTCTATAATTTACACGCGAGTTCCAAACATGTAACTAAAAACTTGTAACATCTCGAACAATTAACCAGCGCGAAACGTTTCCTACATTGTCTTGGAGTACAAAAGCATGTTAGCACGAAATGAACTATCATAACGATATTTTATCATATTCTGAACGTTCGCCGGTTTTATGGCCCTGTTCCCCTGTACGAACTCCCGACCTCTCTAACGAGTACTTTACGATAAAATAAGCTCCTCTCGTTATCTATTTACAACGCAGTTTTACTGGCCCTTAATGACTGATTAGTTTTATGCACGTACATTAATGCTGTAAATCATATACAGGAAACTATTAGTTCGTCAATTTGAAAAAAAAAGAACACTTTTCCTTTAACTTTATTGAATTACAAGACATTTATTGATACTATTAGTCGCGCAGTAGTCGAAATTCGACTATAATTAATTGAAATTTTATGTTTTAAACATTATTATGGTTCTATTGTCAAATTGTAATACTATTGTAATACTTCTTTAATTTAATCACAGATTACGTCAAAACTACAATATAGATAAATAATATTAACGACAAACAATATTCTATTCTCAATTTGACCACAGACTTTAAACAATAACAAAAGTTTGACGTACCTTTATTATTATGACGTGTTTTGTGTCAAATACATGGTTTTGTGTATAATGTTTGTTTTATTGATCTAATGTATTTTTATTCATAAAAAAAAATTTGCAATCTGCACTCCCTATATTTTCTAAAAGTGTGAGAAATTTCATACTCCTCCGTCCCCGCGCAATTTTCGTAAAAAGGGGTACAAAGTTTTTGCTTCGCGTATTAACTAATCAATCCTGATCATCTGACCCCAAAATAGAATTCTCTGTACTATTGGTACCAGAGAAAACAGACATTTTTTTAAATATAGACATTAAAGATCCCGACAAAAAGCAATCAAAACTGCTCAATTAGCCTCTCAAGGCTATCAGGTTAGATAGGAAAAAAAAATATCCCCCGCCCTTCTTACTGTTCGCGGCAGAAGTAGATAAAATGGTGGTGATATGGAACCTACTCGTTACGGGCTTACAATACAGAATTATATCAACCATGATTACGCAATTACCCAAAATTTCGCGGGTTTGATTTTTCCTACATAGTTACTATTATTCCTTCATCGTTTAAGTATTGTATTAACTTAGAAAAATAAGTACGTATTTAAATATGGGCAAACCGCCATTATTGCCAATAATTAACATGATTTATAGTTAAGTTTGTTCTATGTTATTATTTATTTGTTATTAGTTATATTTGAAGCTGTTATTCTATCATGTTTAATATTTATTAGACACTGCTTTGATGTGAAAATGCTCAGGAGATATTTCATGTTGAATTTATAATTTAAAAACACAAATGACTATTAAAATACTCCAATATTAATAAGCATAAATATTAATAATAAATTACGTTATAATTAACATTAATTATGTTAGTTTATATTAGTTAAAAGTAATTTTATGTAATAGTGTCCAGTCAGAGTCATGTAAAAATCATTAAAGTATTTTTTCTAAATTCTACATTTTTATTTTATTTTTATTACTTAGGTGGGTGGACGAGCTCACAGCCCACCTGATGTTAAGTGGTTACTGGAGCCCATAGACATCCACAACGTAAATGCGCCACCCACCTTGAGATACAAGTTCTAAGGTCTCAAGTATAGTAACGACGGCTGCCCCACCCTTCAAACCGAAACGCATTACTGCTTCACGGCAGAAATAGGCAGGGTGGTGGTACTAGGAGTGGGTGATATAAATCGTATATAGATTCAATATCTATATATCGCAGCAATATCGTTGAATCCGATATCGCCCCGCACGAAATCTATATATCGATATCAGCCGATACACGATATTGCTCGATGTGATGCGCATCGCCATATCGGACCGATTCGTGAATCGAAATCTATATTTCGATATCAGCCGATACACGATATTGCTCGATGTGATGCGCATCGGCATATCGGATAAAACAATAAAAATTGATGGGAAAGGGCCATGTCCTTATTACCGATACCGGGTGTGTTCCTATTACCGTTTTTTGGCACCTATTACCGACCGGTAAAGCAACAGAATTAGTCATGTTAAATAAAAATTAAAGTTTCAATTTAATTATTGATATAAAGCAACAGTACTTTAAGTATTAGTTTTTATTTTTTATTGCTTAGATGTGTGGACGAGCTCACAGCCCACCTGGTGTTAAGTGGTTACTGGAGCCCATAGACATCTCACAACGTAAATGCGCCACACCACCTTGAGATATAAGTTCTAAGGTCTCAGTATAGTCACAACGGCTGCCCCACCCTTCAAACCGAAACGCATTACTGCTTCACGGCAGAAATAGGCGGGGCGGTGGTACCTACCCGTGCGGACTCACAAGAGGTCCTACCACCAGTAATTACGCAAATTATAATTTTGCGGGTTTCATTTTTATTACACGATGTTATTCCTTCACCGTGGAAGTCAATCGTGAACATTTGTTGAGTACGTATTTCATTAGAAAAATTGGTACCCGCCTGCGGGATTCGAACACCGGTGCATCGC